CACACGCCATACTCAAAACGTCCGTTCGGCCAAAGAAATATAGAAATCTGTTGCCAGTTTTGTCGTCTGTTGTTTCTTTGGGAGACACAAAGCTGTCTACTTTCCCAGGGAACGTTACAATTTCACTTATATGATCGGGAAGTAAGGAAACAACAAGTCCTCGGTCTTCATCTACAACACACATACTTCTTAAAATCAGTAAAACTAAGGGCTAGTATAGTTAAATTATCAAAACTGCTTACTAGATAACGTATGACTAAAAAAGAAATGAACAGAACTAGGGGCAAATTAACATTGCCTAAGGTGAATTGTTAGAGAGGGAGATATATATATATATAGAGAGAGAGAGAGAGAATTGCAACTATTTTCAAATTCTAGAACATGATGCATATTTTACCTCATCTGGAATTTTATCTTTATATTTTATCAAATTTTGCAGTTTGTATACGATAATCATCAAATTAATATATCCTCAAGGGACTTAAAAACAGATATTTAAAAGGTCACGTAAGTGAGATATTAGCAGATTGTAATTATGTTATTATAACAACATGTTGTCCATTTGGTCTTACAGCATGTTATGCAAATGTTTACAAGATTTTTTTCGGTTTGTTTTGTGAAAATGCAAATATAAAAATTGCCCAAGGTACCTTGACATTCCATTGAAAATTGAATAATCCAATGAAATAGAAATAAGCAAAAAACTGAAGAAAACTTAGCAGCCAGTGCAGTGAAACATTAATATGAAATAACAATTTTTATCATGTTGACCTTTTTAAAGAAGCAAAGAATTGTAGATTTTTGATTTGGCAAATCACGACTTAGAGCATAAATATTGCAAAGCTCTCAACGCATACAGCATGCTTTTACGATTGAAAAAAGTCAAATACTTCATTACCGAACTGTGAATAATTGATATTCTTTATCCTTTACAAACAATAAATTAGCTAGTTTCGGTTAATGAGAACAATCACTGCTTAAGTACATAACTTCTGATTAAAGCGTGAAATTTCCGTGTTATGTAAATTACACACATCAACTTCTTACAAAAATTCCAACAGAAATTCAGAAATAAATGCTGGAAGAACTGCACGATCAGGCGTCCTTCTCATAACTCAAAGTACTGACAATACATTGTGCGAGATGGACGGCGATTTGAAGAATGAAATTAGTGGTTTTGTCAAATCCCTACTCTCCATTCCGACACCATTTCGTGACTTTTAACTCAATTAACATTGAAAGTTAAACGCTAAATGTCAGTTCTGAAATATGAACGTAAATGTACTCAGAAATATTATAAAGTGTTATAATGTGCTAACAGTTTCTTCCATTTCTAGTCCGAATTGTTTCATTCAAATTTTATTAATCTGAAACCCACGTGTGCATAAAGTCATTGTCTTCAAAGCAAATCGTTCTATCGAGATCTTTTAGAAGTAACTTTTTAAACGAGTTCATTGAAGAAAAGGTCACGTCCCTTACAGAAGGATTGACATATACCCTCTAGGCCACATTGCCATTAAAATGTTTCTCGATAGATATGTGATGTACCAACTGATATGCCCGCTGTCCTCGATATCCCAGACAGTCCAAGACAAATCACTACAGTGGTAAAGTTTAATTTATTAATTTTACTATACCTTTTGCACTCAGCTTACTTGGAGGATAATTTTATTTTAACTCCTATAGTGTCTATTGAAGTTTGTTTAATTTTAAACTAATCCAACATCCTCATTGTTATGAACAAAGAGAAAGGATAGAAAAATTATCATTTTTGATAAGTATAGGTAGACAGTGAAAATTTTCCAACAAAGCAAATAAGGAACTAGCGCAAGATTAAATTGGAGGAATACGGTTGAAGAGATAAAAACTAAGCTTTATTCAATTACTCTAAAAGAGGAAACTGCGATTCTTATTTTTTGTCGATCCCAGCATCTACATGTATGCTTATACTGCCACCATCAGAACATGTGGTTTCGCATAATTGCGCAACAAAATCATCAGATATGCTAATTCCAGGGAATCTGTTGTGGATTATTGTCACACTTTACCCCCATCTCCATATCGGCAAGTATTGGATAACATCATATCCCAAGGCATTTATACAGATCAAAATACAGGGTCTGTAGAGGACATTTGCACAATACCATTAACCTTCAGTAACTATAGTACGAACACCAAGAATTTCTCTAATATTATAGATTCGCAAAATATTATTATTTTCGGTAACCTGCAGAAACCTATTCATCACGATCGCAAATTTAGATTAATTATACGAGGAAGAACTGTGGTTTACTGCTGGCCACGATCAGGTGTTTTATAATTATCCAGTAATAAATGTCAATCAGCTGTCAATCACTTTCATAATCATCCAGTCAATGTATTTATGTATTTTAAAAAAAATATTTAAGAACATAGAAACTGTTAAATTTTCTTTAAGAAAATGTGTAGAATTTTCATGGAAAATGTAATTTAAAGGGAACCTTACCTTGACAGGTGACAAAGAATAGGAAAGTAACAGAGATGATTATCCTCCAGATCCTCGCCATCACTGTATCACGATTGGCTGCTGCACCCTTAGAAAGTATGCTGGAGTCTGGTTTTTATGGCCAGTATAAAATACACTAACATCCAAACACCTTCTCTTGGATGACCAGCTCCCTGCCCTCCTTATAGCAAAATAGCCGAATTTCTCTATACCTATGCAATAAAACGATTTTGGCTACGGATGAATGCTTTTGAGAAGATTTTTATCAATCGCCCTTCTGGCTGTTTAGCCAAAACAAGAAAACCATCGTCATTTTAAGTCGTTATATTACAATGAAAATTATTTGCATATGTCACAGTGTTAAACCGTCTTGGTAATGAATGAGAGAACATTTGTTTATCCGACCGGGCAAAAACAGTGTGACGGTTTTATGACATAATACACTGACACCTCGATGATGTGATTAAAAAAGCGACATCTAGGGCCAAAAAGATCAAGGGGTTTCATTCATTTTGTTAGTCTCGAAACGTCCGGATTGATCAACTACGAATTAAGACAAGTAAACTAGGTCAAGTAAAGACGGGAAATATATTTGGAAAAAACAAAGATTCAAATAAGAAGGACATTAAATGATTTTTAAGGTAAAGCTTATCTCTTAAATGATGTGTGAAAAAGGGTCCGTCCAGTGTTTCAAAAACATTTCTTTAGTGGAAATTTAGAAATAACGATTACATTAAAAAAAATGTTCATTATATATTTTATTCCATAAACTCTCAACTGTTATGTCAAATTGTGGAATGTGTAACGAATTCGTAATAAAATATGCATTCACCAGAAATAAATTAACTCAAGTGAAGTCCGTCACACAAATGAATCCCCTTCCAGCTTACGAATTCTGCGAAATGCGCTATTAAACACATGTCCATCAGTTGGCTGCATGTAAATGTTTTCTCTATCATTTTATATATTTCAGGTAAAAATAAAACACAGATCTTATATCGTTCGTGTATGAGTACATTACATGTAGAGAGAAATGTATTTACAATTGACTTCTATGGATCAGTTTAAGATGGTGTCAATTGGCCACTTACATGTCCAACCTTAAGCTGCCCTTAATTCCAATTAAAATATCACAACCCATGCTTGTAAATCGCTAAAGGGCTCATTATTTCCCATCCATTACTAAGGTAATTACGCTGGTGTCACTTTAACTGAGTTACCGTTAAGAAAGGATAAATACTTCATTCTGCTGCCTAATGGTTACCAAGAACACACGTTGGGCCGACAGAAGAGAACTGGGAGATTTCCGCCTTTTCATCCCGACAAAGCATGTGTTAAATTCTACTTTTCCTCATCACTTAGTATAATTATATGAACTGGGGGCGACATTTGCAAGAATTCTCACTTTTTAAAGCAATATAACCCCATGTACTTTACCTTTCTTTGAGTAATTAAATATATTGTGCCCAAAAATTATACCTTTTGCTTGCTGTAAAATGATGCATCTTATAAAAATAATCAAAGTAAGTTTGATATTAATACTTCTAAAATTACCAACTCGATAAATATTTATTTAAAAGAACTGAAGAGTATATTCTGATAATTACCTTTATTTACAATTCCAGTTGATTGTTAAACAAGATACATGTAATAGCCATTTAACATGCATGCACTGTATAATGTGTTTTTCTCCGTCGGAATCTATTGAAAAATCTGTCCAACAGTTAACTCTCCCATTAATTTCCATAAACATCAAGCATGAAGTATTTATTTCTACTTAATTGGTAATGAGTTTGTTAGGTTTTATTCAATGGTCACTCAAAATGAATCATTTTGACATTAATAATGAATCATATCTTAATTAAGATAAAAAAGAATTCCATGTCAGGCAAATTAATTACGCGTGAAATTTTAAGATTTACAGCTTTTTGGAGAAAGTTTTCGATGATTTTTTTTTCTCAATAAAAGGAAATATCACAATTGTCGCTTACTAGAATCCGTTGTCAACCATAGGTTTTGATACAAGAAATAAAAGATCATGTTTGGAACTGCATATTGAAGTCGTGCGTAGGTTTTCGTTTGTTTGTAAAATATGGTTTTGCTTTCAATTCACATCTTTTTTAACGAAGATGAATCATTCTAAAACATAAAATACCTTTCAACGTATAACAGTGTATATATGGATAGTTCTCTTACCATATGTTCGAACCTCTACAGTATATGCTGGATACTATATTCTGAATATAGTGACTTGTAATTTTTTAACTAGTTGCTAATAAAATTAACACAGAAACTTAACAAGAAAACATAACGCCAGGTTACTAGCACTTTTTGTTTAAATCAATTGTTATGTAAATTGAAGATAATATTTAAAAAATGTTTTATATACAGACATATTCAAGAGAATTCTCAATATTTTTGATTAAAAATCTTCCATATTTTTCACATAAAAAAGATATTTCATAACACAAATTCTTTATTCTTTTATAGGAAAATTTTACAGAAGAACTCCATTTCACTCGTGAACGACATCAATATAAGCGGGATCACGTGACTGCTGAATGACGTCTAGGTAAGTATTATGTTGTGTTATAGGCTCACAATAATAAGTATCATCTGTATTTGTTACGTTAACTTCTGGAAGACATGCAGTTGGCGATGTAGGACCGCTTAACGTTTCTTTATTTTCGCAGTCCGGGTCCTTCCTTATTTCATCTCGATTGTTCAAGTCTTTGTGTCTGTCTTCCGCTTCTAAGATTTTTGTTATATCATTTATTTCCGCTGAATTTGAATCATATGAAAGATTTTGAATAGGCTCTTCTACAATTTGTACATACTCGGGTTTAGAAGCTGGAGAAGCTAGGCTTTGTAATCTACTCTGATCAGAAACAACATTATATTTATTATTCGTTGCAGAAACTTGTGATTCTTCGATAATTTGGTAAACGTCCTCTACCTCCGAAGGATCAAGTTTGTTCCTTCTCTGTTTCTTAGTAACCAGAAGTCTTTGTCGCTGAATCTTGCTATGAATTTGATTGGCTGCAATCAGAAAGAGAAAGAAACACAAAACACTCCCGATGATAATGATGACCGACGTCATAGAAACGTCACCAGAAGAAGTAACTGGTTTTGCTGTTGTAATTAAGCCGATCACAGATAATTCTCTGGATGTGAAGGTTGTAATAGCCCTGCTTCTGCTGAATGTAATATCTTCAGTTGAAAATATAATCTGTTTTGCTGTTGTTGTTGTTGATTGTTCAGACTCTGTGTAATTATGTAAAAGATTACTATTTAAGGCGTAATGGCCCACTGCTTTAAATTTTACAATTTTTTTTTTTTAACAATTTTTTCCCAACATTGATTTTCATCAAGAATTATAGCAGTAGATTCAAATGGAAAATAGTATGAGGTATGAAGCGGTGCTTATTTATTCTGAAATGATTTTATGACCATGATGTGAAGAATTTATTACACTGAGAATAGGAAGAGCTTATAATCACAACAAATTAATAATATGAGGTGCATATATGAAAATAATACTTAGTGTCATACCTATTAGATAACATTATAAAGAGCTGCTTCCTAAGTCAGAATACCACAAGGTTATCTGTGCTTGTAAGATTTTTTTTATCATTGAGTTCTTAAATATATTTTTATATGCAAACAATCGTAATTAACATATATGAAGAGATTAAGCTAAAACTAACATATTTTTAGAAACGCTTTCTCATGATTTCTAAAGACTAAATTAAATGCAGAATACATAATAGAAAATGAAAAATCATTATGATAACATTGTTTATTATCGATAGTCGAAGCTTTATTCTTTATGTACCTAAGCATCCGATTTTATGGTTACAGAGATTTTCCAAACAGTGACAGGTACTTCGACACGACAGACCGTAGGCTGGGAATCTACAAGGCGTACAATTGCTTCCGAAATATCCACTGGTACATTCTGCATACGAAATAAACAGGTAGAAGTTAATTGAACTGGAAAATCATTTAATCTATAACAATTTTAAATTTATAATCATTCACTGCCTACTGTACAGACCATTTTAATTAACAGAATGTTTTGTTAAAAGAATGTACATGTACCGTATAGCGGAAAAAGTGTGAACAGACATGTATATATGAAACATATCTTGACGATAAAGGGATATCTACGGGCAAATTTCAATGATCATATCATAGAAGCAGTTGTTAACTATTCTATTTTTATGGTTTTGGGTGATGGCAATTATTTCTCTATTGTCTGTTTTGTACTGAAATCACTTCTGTAATACAGTCCATTTATTTATAAAAGTCACTCATTTTCCTGCTTTGAAACGACTTGCAGAAATTCCCAATGTAATTATATCGTAATTCTGCCTCCCTTTCTCTCTTAAATAACATCATCATGCGATAAGTAAAAAAAAAAAATCTCGCTTAAAATCAATAGCTTACATTCAGTTTCCATGTTTTAAACTACAATGCAATTGATTGAATTATAAATACAGCTTAATGTACGATTTAAAATTTCTATTGAACATGCCCATTTAAAAACAAACTCAATTTTACGTAGATGGAATGGAGTCTACCTTTACAAGATCCATTCACCAGGTGGTAGTGGGTGCAGCATTTTGGCATTCCATTGCTGTAGCAAGGAGTATAACTAGTATTAATGATATAGGCTTGCTCACTTCAGTTAATAGTGCATGTATACTCATATTTTTATCTTTTATTACATGTAGGGTGCAATTTTATTTTTAAATAGAAGACCTTATAAACCCATGACATCCAAAGGCAAAAGCTGACAATGAAATCACAACTTACTCTTGGGTTCCACATATTCCGCTCTCCCCTTTGAATTCGTTGGGTTCTGTATTAAATGCCATTTTGGCAAGCCGGAAAAACATCTAAATGAATACAATATGTATCACATAATTGAAAGTTTCATGAAACACTTAAGCATATATATCATATCATTTCCCCAAATATGTATTCCCAAAATAGGATGGGCGTGATTATAGCTTTCTTATATCTCATGCAGTGATTATAATGAAAATTTAAAAAAAAAAAGCCCCAAAATTGCTTTATCTTCCTGTTGTGTGCAAAGTTCATTACATGTTAAATAACGACCTGTCCAGTATTGTAAGTGTTACATAATTGATTGGAATTATTTACACAGTAGAAACAGTGAGGCACATGAATTATTAATCAATATTACTACATTTTTTTATTACTATAACACACGTGGCAAAATGAAAATTTATGAAACATATTTTGATCTGAGTCGTGGCGAAAATTAACGCCAGTTCCATTTTTTTGTCTTTCAAATTACCCTGCCAGTAATATTACATCCTTCTGCCGGTAAAAGACATCCCCCCCACCTTTTCCGTGCTTCTGTTTGTTTGAATTTCATTTCCAATGCATCAAATTCATTTGAAATAATATATTTACACGAAAATGACTTAATGTTGATTTACTGGGTCGAGTGAAATGCATGAAACCTGCAGAACACCATAATCAATAGATAAAAGTAACACTCTCTAAAACTATTTATGCACAAATCATTTAAAAATTTAGAAATAAAAAAAAACGCTCCTAAAAAGAGAAAATCATGACAAGGCCAATGATCGTATACATGTATCTACACAATTTTTCTGACCGTTGAAGCCAGCTGAAGACATATAGAATTATTCCTGGAAACATTGTAACAGCGAGAATATTAAGCTGTTCATCTTAAAACCGTTAGATCAATCGTTTGACCTTGTCAACAACAACAAAAAATGCTTATAGTAGAAAGTTCAAGATAAATTAAGATCCTGATAGTCTACCACGTAAACCATGTCCTTAAAAATTTATGATCTGTCTATAATCCCCCCCCCTCCATTATATATATATATATATATATATATATATATATATATATATATATATATATATATATATATATATATATATATATATATATATATAATTTTAAAATATATATATATATTTAAGGAATCACTGTCTAGTTAGTAGAGTATGCCAGGGCATCAACGATAGTTGGAAACGTGGGATAATTTGCATAACGGGCGAAGCCCGTTATGCATAAATTATCCCACGTTTCCAACTATCGTTGATGTCCCTGGCATACCCTACTAACTAGACAGTGATTCCTTATATTTCCATTTCATTGTGAAATAAATTGTAAATTTAGATTTTAAAAATGTAGACTAATAGATTTAAATTACACGAGGCCTCGCATGTCAATTTCAATAGTCCCCGCCCACTGACGTCAAACACAAAGACAGCCGCACGAGATTTACATGCATATTAGGCCTCCTTAGAGTCTGACACAGACAGCCGCACGAGAATTACATGCATGTATTAGGCCTTCTTACATCCTGACCTTTCGCTTGGCGAAATTTGCATTCCGTTATCTAGAATGATCAAGAAATCAACTCTCCTAACTTTCAATGAGTTATCACAAAGAAAACAAATAGAAATGGAAATATATATATATATATATATATATATATATTTATATATATATATATATATATATATATATATATATATATATATATATATAAGAGTGTTAAGAATTGTTTTTAAGTAATTGCATTTTAAATAATTATAAATTATAATTCAATATTAATAAAAGTTATTTCAATTAATAGGCCACTCATAAATCTCAATATCAAATGTTCTATTCATAATCTCATATTTCATGTAAAAAGTTTGATTTTTTAATACTTTAAAACGTGTGTTTGTTTGTGTAAGCACATTTCAGCTGATATTTAAGCTAGGGCAATACAAAGAATTGTTGCTGATATACCACATGTTGAGTTCGACTTTCAAAAGTGCAACCATTGAATCAAAACATTCAGAAAAACACTTGGTTACCTGTAGTTTGTCTATTGGTTGTTTTATCTGTGGTAAATTTCAGGCTTAATACACATGTATTCAAGAATTATTTCTATCTTTATTACGCTCTCTTTTCCAATTTTTAAGGGGTAGCGACCCTCTGATAAGAGAGATAACTTTCCAAGCAAATAAAGCCTGATATTACTCATACCTTTCTTCACCACAGTTTAATAATTTTGACCTTTGAGTAGTCATTCGATCAATCTTGAAACATGATGGAAACATTCGCTTTTATTTCCTTTTGCCTTTACTTTTCAAATTGTTTTATTATATTTGACAAAAAACATTTAAATCCAGTTTTAAAACCCTTAAAAATTGAATAAGTTCTATCTTTTAATGGACCATTTTAAAAATTCTTTAATTTATCAAGTACCGTGTGTAGAATTTTATTAGAATTACATTTTTTTCCTTTGAAAAAATATTTATATGAAAGATAACTCTTGTTAATGGACGTATTCTTTTCTTACAAGCACATATAACATTGTGATATTCTGACTTAGGAAGCAGCGCTTTATTATGTTTTCTAATATGAATTTAATAAGTATGACACTAAATATTATTTTCATATACACCTCATATTTTTAATTTTATACTGGGATAATAAATTATTACTCTTCCTACTCTGTGTTAATTAAAATTTCTTCATATCATGGTCTGACATAAAAATCATTTCTGAAAAAATAAGCTGCGCTTTATGCCTCATACTATATTTTAATTAAATCTAATGCTATAGCTCTTGTTGAAAAATTAATGTTGGAAAGTTTTTTAAAAAAAATTGTGAAATTTAGAGCAGATGGTCATTAGTCCTTAATTTCTTTTATTTCCCTTTTCCTCGTTTTTGGTTAATGGAAGTTTTTTTTCTCTTTTGATTAATGAAGGATGTATCCAGTTGACCACACACAAGTAGCAATTCATCAATAGGCTTTTTAAGCAATTAACTTTAAAGTGTATAAATATCTATCAGTCAAGTGACCCTTTGTAATAACAAAAGTCCAGTTAGGTAAATAACTTTTTAATTTGTCGATTTGTTATAATCACAAAGATATATTAATTTATCTAAGAACGTTTGTTTTTCTTATCTTTATTTTCAAACTTTATTATTTTCATTAAAGGGAAAAACATTTACTGATGAACAACTTGAAGATAAGTGCCTTCGGGGCCGCTCAGCCCGTTGAGACGAACAGAATTACAGTCAACGTCATCGGTTGCTTTGCTTTCATTACTAATGTTACTTTCACTATGTGTCAACCCTTTGGGCGGTGAACCGATCACATCTGCATACACGTTCATTTTACTAACTGGTTTCAGGTAGGAATTATCTGGGCTTTCATTTGGGTTTACAGATATCACATCTAGATAGGCTGAACGACGTTCTTCTCCAATCCCTTGACCTTCTTCAACAACAGAATCTTTTGATTCACTTTCATTTAATCGATCTTTGCGTCCAGGAAGCATAGGTTTGGTAATGTCATCTTTGATAACTTCAAACATTTCGTCATTTCTTTTCTGAAGTTTTATTGATGGCTGAGACTCCATTTTGTCATAGTTTGAAAAATCACCCAACATTCCACATTCGTTTATCTCTATATATGCCTCTTCCTCTGGCTGGTTTGAAACCTCTGGATTAGTTTTATTGTTAATTGAGATGCTTTTCCTCTGTTTTCTTAATTTTCCATGAACCTGGTTAATGATTATTATGATTAGAAATAAAGACAGAACAGATCCTGTAATTATGATGACAAACATGGTTTGTGAATTGCCGGAAGTTGGTTCTGTTGTAGTCTTTACAATGACTCCATATGAAACGGATGATCTGGTTTCTAAATTTATTTTTGAATTGTCCAGAGTAAGCTTTGTTTCCGCCTTTAAGTTTTGTGTTGATTCCTTAATCTTTGCTGGTTTTATACTTGTGTAGGGAACGGATTCTGTTACAGAATTGCGGAGAATGGCTGTAGACGAAGGAGGTGCTGTCAAAAATATTATCATTATTTTCATTGTTATTGATTTATTTTTTTTTTTGAAGAAGTTCATGTTTTATGCCAAACAAATATATTAAATTCAATTAGAATTTCAACGTGTTTTCTCATTTTACTTTTCCAAAACTAAAATATTTCTGTGGAATTATTTAAAGTCATGATGGCAAATTTTGTTGATTGCTTAAGACTGAAGATTCACAGCTACAGACCAATAATCATTGTGGGTTGTCCACGAAAATTCAACCACCACAAAGTATAATGTTCAACCGTATATATTTTTAAAAAACATGGTATTATATACATTTTTTCCCCTGATTTTCCTATTATACAGTATCAATCTAAACAATAAAGATGTTGATTTAAATACGTTTGATGTTTTTCTTTAAAATGTTTACCAGTGGTTATCCTGACACAGCCCTTGAATGGGTTACATTCTTCCCCCTGACTACAAACACACTGATGACCACAGTTCTCCCCGTAAGACGGATGTGGGCAAGTTGTCGAGCAGTTGTCTCCATAGGAACCAGCGGGACAGGCTATAATCAACCAGAAAACAATTGTATATTTTATTCTGTGTTGTAATAATGCTTTAAAAGAACAAAGTCATTAATCTGCATTCAAATAAATTCTAGATCCCAGGCAGACAAAGAATTTGTTTAAATTTACTTAATGAAATGTACTTTTACATGTATTTGAGTATATCATGAATAATTCGCGAAGGAAATACAAAATTGAGAGCTATCTTACCAATACATTCACCATTGCTCAGATAGAAGTTCGTACAGCACTCGCCTCTAAAACAGATATATTTCAACAATAAATCGTATGCATTTAACGATTGTGCAAACTGTAATTTTCTACGTTTAAACAAACGACAATGCCTTTAAGCCAAATAAAATAAGCTCTTTGACAAATGAGATTTTCTATCGCACGTTAAACAATCAACACCCATCTTTTCACGTAACTTAAGAAAATTGGAAATATTCAATCACAAATTCAATTTAGTAAGCGTTTTATTAATAAATTACAAATTCTCCCCTGTTTATTAGTGTTAGTACATACCCTGGTTCTACGTACCGATCGTTTACACAGTTCCCCTTACTAACTGTTTCTGCATTCAACGTGATAACTAATAATGCTAAACCCACATCTCTACCTCGCCATGAATTAAACAGTCTCTTAGGAAAACACAAAATATTCTCCATTTTCGAAATTCCTTAGTGCTATTCAAATGTTTAATCAAAATACTTATGTTTGACTTGAATCAATTATATATATGATTTTCTATCTGGCGCAGTATAGAGCTGTATCCTGATGAAGTGGTTAACACGGAAACGCTTGCTTTAATTTTACATCAATATTGAACAAAAGTATATCTTTCCGGAATGTTCTAAAAGCATGGATATAAATCACTCTTTTTGTGTAAAGTCCATCACAAAATTTGAAATATTTTAAAGCTGCATGCGCCTCTGGAAAAACTCTACTGTTTTACGTAATGATCAGTGTTTACAATTTTTAAGGTTTGGTTCTATAACACAGAAACACTTCCCCGGTTTATCCAACCAAACAGGCATTATTACGTTAGATTTGTCAAGAAATTTTCACATCAAATGCATTCCGATTCCCTATTTTCCCCGTTGGTACATTTTTCTTTTTTTCACCATTGAATAAAATTGTTCGTTTACAATCTACCAGAAATGAGCTTTATTACATGTATTTCTTTTACATGGTATTGTAGTACAATGTAACTAGTACTCAATGTTACGTCCCGTGCTTGACTTTCATAAACGTTGTCTAATAGTATTACTTAAATGTTTTTCTTTCATAGTAAAATTTTTTGCATGTCAGTAAGTGTAAAAATGAGTGTTTACTTGGGAGTGATTTTAGTAAAGATTTACGGCAAACTATTTTGTTATGATTTCCGGATATATTAACGTTTCCAATATGATTTTCACAATATTTCTTGGAAAAGCGTATGATTATTTCACACAAAATTAGTTGCTGAGAACGTGGACCAAACGTTTTCCGTCCTATTTTTATCATTCCTACTTGTACATGGATTTATTATTTCCTTCCTTAAGTTAGAGTGGAGTCTTAGGATTCATTAAACATGAATTTAATTTTTATGCAATGAAATTTTATCTTACACTCACGTCAATGAAGATGGGTAATGGAAACAAAATTAGGAATCCTTAACACTACGGAGCAGTGTTGCAGAAAAAAAACTGGATATAAAGGCACAATAGAGTATTTTATAGAAAACGCTAGGCCTAAACGTGCTCTTAAATTTAAATATTATTTCAGCCATGTCTTCAGCAAGAAAAATCTTTTTTTTTTTTAAAGTGTAAATTTGAATAATCTTTGAGTCCTCCTTTTTTGCTTTTGACATGCATACTTTACAGAACTTGCCCATTCTCCTTTAAAGATTATATTTACATGTAGGTAGACTCATATTATTTATAAATAATTGTTTAATCTATGGATATGATTAAAAAATAGCTCTGAGTGTTCCCAACCAAATATACTGTTCAAATTACTTTAAAACAAAATTTTTACTTCTTTAAAAAAAAAAAAAATATTAATACCGTTTTCCATTGTTTACACATTCGCCTTTGCTCATAGTCCTCAACTGCAAACTCGTAATGAAGAAAAACAACAAAAGTCCGTCTCCGTTCCTTATTACTCGTATTTTGAATACAGAAGAATTTGAATATATTTTCATTTTATGTTGTGACACAGGACTGCTTGGATAATGAAAAAAGGTCATTCCATGTCCAAATTAAAATTTCATCCACAAATATAGTATGAAGTTTAGTTTTAAAGATAACCGCATTCGCACAGTTTCCTTTTCATGGCTTTATCAAATAAATGCCTATGACGGAAATGACATTAAATTTAATTTCACATTAAATCTATGGGAAGAGGTAGACGAGGAGAAGCTTCCAAGTATACAAAAATTAATACAGGGATTTGTAGAGTAATGATGATTCAGGAACGTTAATCGCAAACACGAGGAAGATTAAGCAGATATAAATATATTCTGAAAATACTTTGACTTAAGTCTGTTCGCAGTTTATGGTCTCGAGGCCTGGACTCGGTACTTACGGCCTGTGAGAAGTTAGGGATCTTTTTCGTGCCATCACCTACTGCGACACGGGACATCGGTTGATACGGGTCTCATTCGAAGGACCGGTGTCGCATAATATTTGGTCCGCCTCGTTTAAAGGTCCGGGGGGACCTAATACGATAACATATAAGGTCCGGCCTGCCTCTATAATAAAAGGTCCGCCTTTGGTTTAATATGCAGACTTTTCTCCTTTATTGATTCGAAATTAATTTGCTTAATTAATCTTTTTTAATTATTTAAGGTATAGTTGTCATAAAAGTGTCCCTCCCAGCAAAATGGAGTTCCAGGGACGTACATGTATGTACATTGACTGTATATATACTAACAGAATCAAGTCTTGCGATATCTCGCTAGTTGCTGGATTTCGTAAGTCAATTTTAATTAATTATATTTCTAATACTATGATATATTTCAGTACAAAACCTCAAATTATCTATAAAAAAAAATAATTCAAAATTTGATGTTAGCACTGATTAACTGTTAGCTCCTCATCGTAGTACATACCTCCCAGGTACTGCACAAAACAAAAATTATAAAGATGCAAAGATCTGTTGATCGAGTTACCTTTTGGGAAAATCATGTACGACTTGTGTCTTTTATAGTTTAAGTAATATCAATATTACCATTGCAAAATAAAAAAAAATACATATATATAATACGTATACCTTCACTGGCACATTGTTCAGTATATAGTGTTCGTAAGTCCAACAATGATCATTTCATTAAAGTCTCTTTCCTAACAACGTTCGACTTCCACTTCAAAAAAAGAATTTTCATATCTTTCGAAAGATATTTCATTATATTATTAATAATAATTATGCATAATTCTTACGATTCATATTGTATAAAATAATTGGAGGGTCACTGTGACAGGGACTTGTGTTAAGGGGTACTAGCCTATCCCGTTGTTGTTAAAACAACATGTCTGTGCATTGGGGGTAGGCCTATTGTCTCACTTGACGAAACTTGAAGCCGCATATCCCCCATGTTTTTATAACCATCGTTTTTATCCAGTTAAAGACTAACGATTATTTCATTCTACTTGACATTACCCCGGGATTAACACTGGTTAAGGAAGATGTGCATTAATTGGCAAGATCAAACCAAAGTCAATCGAGTTGAACATTTTAAGCAAAAAAATACCCCCCCCCCCAAAAAAAAAGAAAAGAAAAGAAAAGATTATAAATGGTCTTATTGTATTTTTGGTGGGTGGGGTATAGCAAAATTATGCTGATACATGTCAAATAGTTTAAAAAGTACTGATATTGTAGACTTTCCTCCCGCATTAATATTTTTCCCGGAAAAACGAGCTTGGGTTTAAAGACCCCCCCCCCCTTTGGAAAATGAGCCTAGCATAGGATTTTATTTCCGGAATTTTTTAAAATATTGTTCATTTCATTCCCTACGTTTTGTACTTTTCATTTCTGACATTTTAAAATTTTCATCTCTGACATTTATCATCATAAAGTACTTTTCCGGCAATTAAAACAGAATTGAAATTTCCCTTATAAAAAAAGAATAAATCAAGAATAATTCATTGATTTCCAAATAATAAGTTCTGCTTATATTCAAAAGAAGCTTATGATGATTTTATCCTCGGACACATGTAAGTCTTGTGAATTTTTGTTCATCTTTTCAAATCAACATAATCAGATTGAATTTGAGATCAGAAAGGTTAAGATAGAATTTATGACATACAGAAACTATGTTTGAGGGAATGAAGTAATCAAAGTTGAGGGGATTCTGTTTTTCGGTGCTTTCAAACACATATAATTTAGTGGGCATTAACATTTGGTGATCAAAAATTGCATGTTTTATTATTGAAATTATTGCATTTTATTACTAGACTTTGTATTTTTACTAGACTTAGTGTTGATTATATTGTAAAATGAAAACAAAAAATGTTGGAAATGCAATGCAAAATTTCGGAAAATTTTTTAATGACATACAGCGAGCTTTGAAGAAACAACCCCGGCTTTATTATCCACCGTAGGAAATACTCAGTACGCTTCAGTACAGAATTTTCTACTTTTCCACCTTCTTACTAGGGAGAATCTTATCCACCAATACTATTTACAGAGGGGTTTTACAGAGCAACTTGACATGTATTTCCCCCTAAAATAAAAAGGAAAGTGTCTGTTGAGATCGTGGCTGATATAAAAATTCATAAAACACCACCAAGTCGTGTTCTTTTGTTAATATTTTTATATTTATTTTGATTTTGGTTTAAATTAGATTTTCTACGACTTTTAGCGGCTATTTCTTTTTTATTTTATTTATGTGTGTGTGATGGGGGGGGGGGGGGTGGGGGGTGTTATAGTTCTCTTGTTGCACGTCATCAACATTACTAATTAAATAATAATATATATCCTTGGACCTTGGTCCCTTCAGACAGATATAGATATACAATACAGTAGACACGTCATTTCCTGCAAATGTACATAGAGTGGATAATTAATAGCGATTCTCTGTAACCACTTAAACTTCTTTGCCACACATAGTCACCGATTTTGATGAAACTTTGCCCATTATTACAACTTGACACCAGAAACATATATCAAATAAAATTTCGTTGCTATGTGTCTTGGTTGCCATGGTAACAGCCAGAAAAGTTGAAAAAATTGAGATTTTCAGCTACTTCAAATCTTTATTAAGCCTTAATAAAGACTAAGAAAAACAAACAAACCATTCTCCCAAAAACATGACACCTTGTTGCCACTTATGCTATAAAGAAACTATTTAGAATATATCTCTAAGTAAGTGGTAACCATGGGTACATTTGGAATACATTTTAGATGCTGAAAAATGCTGAAAAACGCTCAATATTCACAAATGATAGATGTTACATGGTCAAACTCAATCAACAACCTAAGAAAAACAATGAAAAATATTTGACCTTATGTTATAAGGTATTGGCAATATTATTCTAAAAATAACTTTCATGGTTGCCATGGTAACACAGTGTCACCATGCAAAATCTGTTGCTATGATTGGGTTAATGCTACTATCTTGAGGATAAACAATAAGATTCATGACTGGCACATATACATCCTTAGGACCTTGCAACACCGACAACATAAGAAAAATTGAGATTAATTGTTACTTTTCAGGGTAACCATGGAAACAACGTACTAGTTGTTTAAAGTGATATTTTTTTGCTGCTTTAGGAATTTACTAACCTTTTAATCGAGAAACTTTTTATTTGACTCACTTTGAATAGTACTTATCTGGCAG